TCACCGGCAATTATCCATCTGTTTGCGAACGCTCGGCCGTTCTTCCCCGGCGGGAAATCTTCGTCTGGGATCGAGTATTTCCAGACGATTATATTATAGACTATAGTTTCTCGCGATCTCGCTCTCGATAAAGAAGAATACCGAGAACTCGCGTGTGTCTTCGCCTCCGCGCGCACGATAACAATCAATTCCCCCCCATCGATTTGCGCAATCTGAGATTAATCCATCCGCCTGCGGTTTGTCTGACAATGAGTTTTCGCGTCCCGCGTATAATTAGGCGTAATTACGTACTCCAGTTCGGCTACGACCAGACCTTGGCGCGAGGTGAGCTCGTCGTTGTCAGAGTGATAAGAGCGGCCCGGCACGTTTCGCGTCGCGCGCTTATCAATTGATGATCTTTTCGTTTGTAACCGAGCCGACCCGGCGGCTGATGCCCATTAATGCAACGAGATCTACGAGGATATGCCATTCGGGAAGCCGTCGTGCCGGTCGCCGTTGCACGTTTTATAAAACAAGCTTCGGGCACGTGATTCCAAGTTTATGCACTGAATTGCACTTGTCATCGCGCACGGGCGTGTGTACAACGCGCACACAGACTTTGTGATACTTATTGATATATTCGCGATAGTATAATCCATACAGATTATGCGCGTGAAAAACACGGCACGCACGCACGCATACACGCGAAGTAAAGTGTCATTTAAAATATCGAAGAAGCCGAACGAAAATGTATTATTGCACAAGTTTTTCTTTCAAAAACCGATAACATCGGCATTGAGCTAGAAAAAAAAACTCGTAAGACTAGTAACGCTCGGAGCGAGAAAAACCGCTTTATCTACTTTAAGCGATATAATTTCTCTGCCAATTGTGCTCTCCGACACAGATATATATATATATATATATAATTACTGCGGCTGTAAGTTATAGACATTGAATTTTTGCACAGATGTCCTTCGCGATTAAATTCTAAATTATTAATAATGTGACAACTTGATGATAAATGAATCTTTAATGTGATAAAGAACTAGTCTTGATGCACGACATTTCGTTTTTTTTCTTCTTCTTTTTTCTTCTCAGCTCGCGTCGGCAACGATCGAAATCATTGATCATCTTTCGGTCGCGTGGGACGCACGTGACGAATGCGCAAGTGAAACAATTATGCGCTCGTAACATCTCTCTGCGGTTTTACGCAAAAAAAACTGCATACGCTTCAAATATCTCTTACGAACGTCATAGTTTTTATCTTGGAGAACTGCGAGGTATCAAACGTTAGCTCGCGAAACGCTCGAAGCATTTTGGAATACGATTTATTCTCCAGAAAATAGATTGGCCCGGAGTGACGAATCTTTCGTACTTTTTACAAGTTTCACAATTTAGGAACTAAAGCAACCGATAAAATATTCTCTAATTTCATTAGCTTGTAAAACAACTTGGAAATAATCGCATAGAGGAAAGTCGCTTGAAAAATATAGATATATTAATAAAATAGTCTCCTTTGCACGCTCGGTCTTTTTATTTCTTATTACGATATTATCACATTAGATACTGTTGCACATCCCGCTGGAAATAACATCTTTAACTCAAGACCACTTAAATTGCACGTGCCATTCTTTTATTTCGTTATCCCATTTACAGTAGAATTTAGATGATTCAGCGTACAAGGTGATATTTTTACATTTATTTCCTCTTAAGACTGCTGACGTTTATTAAAGCATGTAAGCGTATTATGCGTGACTCATAAATCTCAGGCGAACTGTGCGTACGATCAGCGCTTGAGGAAATTGCAGGATTATCTGGTGCATTGCTCAATGTTTACGATATTCGAACAGATCGTCACTTTTCTCGCGATTTTTCGCCGTGCAATAAAAAGCTGTGGGCGAGACGAAAAATTTTAATTGTATCACGAGAGAAACGCACGCGTACTCGTCGCTGGCACACTCGGCGGAACGGACGTTTCCCGTTTTGTTTGTCATTTTACTTTCATTTGCAAGCGTCGCGGTATTGGCGAAACAATCAGACGAAGTGACGCCAGTCAATCGAACCCACTTGTAGTAATTGCGACTTCTAACAGTGAATTACGCCGGCTCTATCGAAGATCAAACGCCGTGTTCGTCGGCACGTCGCACGCTATAAGACGACATGTTTTATTTCAGTTTAGATTCGGACACGTACGTTCGGAGACACCTATCTCCTCGAACGAACGTCGCCTTAAGGCGATAAGCCTTAATTCGTCGTAATAAAATCGCGAGTGATAAAGAAAGTTCTCGACTTAACACTGTGATAAAAAGAAGCGCAACTTTCTTCCACTTTTGTGAAATTTATTAAGTAGAGTAGAAAATGTTAGGAATTGCATTAAAAATTTAAGCTCTTTTATAAGTAACGTCAACGCGTGAATTCTTTTAGATTTTTCTTATCGGTTGATTCTTGATCTCTATAAAGTTTATAATTTTCAACGTCCCTTTTATGTCACAGTTTAAAAGCTTTATCGTGTAATTTAAACAGCAAAGCACTTGACTAATGTACTTGAGATATGACAAGAAGTCTATGTTCTGTGAAGTTTTCGTTGTCCCATTTACGTAAGTTTCAATGAGATACACGATTCCTGTGAATCCACAACTTTTAACTTTGCAAGAAAACCAAGTTATATGTAGTTTTCAAATCGTTAAAAATATCTTTAATGCGACATTCTTTATGTATTAATCATAAGTTTATTAATCAATAGAATAAGTTTGCATGCGTGTGTCATCTAATTTGACAATTGGTGTGCAATATCGAGTCTCCCGTTACAAATACCTTGAACTTGTTATAGACGCTCTTATAAACTAACCTTGTAAAAAAATCTAAAAAATTCACACGCCGATTTATTTATAAAGAGATTTGTATTTTAAATTTTATGCAATTCTTAATGCTTTGGATTTTCCTTAAAAGCTTCGTCATCTTCATCGCGACTTTGTTATTCGCACAACTGAAAACGAAAAAGATAGAGATACTCTTGGAAAGAAATTTAAATGCACACGAAACTTGGATCCTAAATGTGCACAAAGTTTCATTAATTCTTGATTAATTGTAGACGTCAAGATTATCTTTATAAAAGTCATGTCTCCTCTAAATGAAGTGTTACTCTACATTTTGTATTATATTGCACGCTATTTTCGCCGTATATCAAACAGTATTATTTGATTAACGGTAAATGATGTCTAATACGTAATGCATATATAAATTGTGTATAAAAAGAAGTGTTCGGCAAAAAAACTGAAATTAAATTTTAGATTTTATTACAATCAAGTGAATATTGATGAAATGAAGCATACGTGCAAAAATAAAAACGGAAATTCGTAATAGAATCATCGATTTCGAGCCAAGCAGGGAAGTGTGTCAATAAAATTAATCAGCTGATTATTTCATTGTTGTCCAATTGCAATGATTAAAGCAAACTTGTACCTACGCGTCGCGTTCTTACGCAATGCGGGCGGCTTTAATATCAAAACATATCTGGAGTGGGGACTCACGCGGATTATCTCCCGTGCTATCGCGGGCATTGCGCATTGTCAGGGAAAAAGAGATCTTCTCTAAACAGGATCTAAATTAAACTCATAATGGGAGTCGGGCACCTCGAAGCCGTAAGCCGCAAACGTTTCGGGGAGATCCGCGTCGAGTATCTCGCCAAATTAAACGCCCGTAAATCGCGGAATTGTAATTTCCCCGCGGCTTTAAAATTAATGAACAAAAGTTTTCGCTTTAATTTTCAATAAAGGCGAAACACGCGCGGTATTCCCGAAGGGTCCACGCGCGCGAACGCGCGGCGCGCAAAACCGCTCGTCGGCCGCGAGGCAATATCGACCCGCCACGTCCGGGGTACAAGATTTAAAAGTTATGAAACCAGGCCGTCTTACATAAAATAGAGACACTGGTTGTTACGATAACCGCGCGCTCACGTAACGCAGTCGGCGGTGCATTTGGGGGCTGCGATATGCGCTTAAGCGACGCTTTTAGCGAGGGAGGGCCGGCAACACTTCCGAAAACGTCGAGTTACTTCAGCAGACTCCGGCAAAAATATTTGTCGCTATAACGGAATTAATATTGTAATAGTCTTCAAAAACATCTTTAATACAACATTCTTTATGTATTTTAATTACATGAAGACGCTGAAGGAAAATCAGGAATATTACGCTGAGAAAAAAGTTTTTGAAAATTTATTTGTGTCGTTTATTTCGCTGAAATAAACATTATAAGCCGCGAATAAATTTTCAAAGATTTTTCTCTCAGTGTAAGAATTGCATAAAATTTCAAGCGCATTAATCATCGAATTAAAATTAGTTGCTAAATTAATATTTGCACTTTGTCGCTGAATTAAGTATTAATTGTACAATTTGCTTTCGGTTAACTCGATTCTCTTTCTGTGTCCGGATAGAAACACGGTCGTCGCTTACGTTTATTTGCGGCAAGCGGATCTCTCCGGTTGCGCGACTATCGTGACAGAATTTGCCTCACCGCGAATGTCGAGGCGACGGATCACGTCTAATCTAATCATCTTATTTACGATATAGTAATATTTTCATAATGTATTTTTCCCGTAATGGACGAGACGGGGTGGGTTAAAGGCATCCTCGTGACAATATCGCCTTGACTGCAATTAGCACTTGGTTCACGGCCAAGTTTAATAGACTGATCGTCTTCCACTCGTGAATATCGTCTCCAATCGTTTTAACTAACGACGACTGTATCGCGATTGTCACATGTTACGATTAATCGAAAACTCGGGATATTTTTAATTCTGCGAAACGCGAATGTTTCTCCTCTTACGAAATTATTCTCCTCTCTGTTTATTTGCATCTCATTTTACACCCCCCTTTTTTTATCTTTTTGCAAAGAAGACAAAATCCTGGCCGTGCGGATTATTTTGTGTTAGATCATTTTACCTCCAATAACGTTTACAACTGGAAAGCTTCGATCGTTTGTTATTGATGGACCTTGTATTAATTGATATTTCACGCTTTCAGGATGAAAGATACTAATAGCACGGTGGACAGCAGGCAAGGCTTGGAGGGCTACGTAAATCACGGCTTAAGCGGATCCACTAACAATGTGGATCTCATTCATTCGTTTCAATCTCTCCACAATTCGCATGGGAACCATCGCGACATACAGGGCTCCTCAGATTTCATCTGTAAGTTCTAAACGATAGCGCAAATGGTTGAAGCGAAATCGTATTTTACGCCGAGCCGCACGCGGAGCGAATCCGCGTGCGAATAAAATACGTGGATATATTTTATACATAATATAATTATATACGAAACATTTTCTCCCGAGCGGATCCGCAGAAAGGTAACGTTAGCATAAACATATTCCTTTTATTCTCGTTGTCGCATTTCAAAACATAATTTACTTCACGCACGCGACGAGGATGCCTCAAAAGTGAGTACTTATTGTAAAATTCCACGATTGTTCTGACAAGTATCTAACAGCGACTTCGCGTTACGAAATCGACCGAAATCTCGCGTGTAGTTTTATACTTTATGTCCCTCATGTAGCTAATAATGATATGAAGACTCGAATCTAAGCTCAATCTGACGGAGATAATTTGAATTGTTCGTCCTGTTGTTAGTTACGTCATCTTGGAACGCAAAGTAATGAGATGCGGCCGCGGTTATACCTACTTTAAATTATCAAATACAGAAGATTTCGGAATTTTTAACTCTACTTTACATAACAATATATAACAAGAACGACGATACCTAAACACTTTCTGATCTGATTACATTTTCATGTAAATTTATTGATATCGATCTTCGCGTTACGAAACTTCGGCTTCACGCTGCCACGGTCCCAATTTATTCAGCGGCGATAAGAACTCTTGCCTCAATTGCATCGTGTTTAATAGTCGTTGATAAAAAACGAGCTTTGATAAAATTTCATTGATAACTAATAATTTTGAAATAAACGGAAGCGATAACAGTTGATTTTGGTGAGTGGTCTGATAAAAGTATTACAAATAATCAACTTTAGGAAATAGAAAAGATAAAGACAAATTGTTATGTACACTGAGAAAAATGAACACTTACAATTTTTCTTTGTAAGACTTACAGACACGGAATCGTGGCAAGAAACACGTGGACTAAAATAACTACAATTAAATGTAACATATGCAAGAGAATCATGAGCACAAGTGAAACTTTCAGCAAACATTTATATTGCAAACATGATGTAACTATAATAGATAGTAATAACATATCCAATCAATTTAAAAATAACTATTGTAAAAGATTATAATATTTTTGAATGCACGACGTTGAACACAATTATGCATATGTTATTACTCTAAAATTCAATAATTTATCAATAATTCAAAAGCACACTTAGAAGTATATACACATGTTGTACACATATTGTAAACAAGTACACATGATGAAGTGTGTTTGCTGCAAAAAATTGTTTACTTGTAATAATTTCGCAAAACGTTTATATTCATTCCAAATAATGAAATCAAAATTTTTAAACGTCACATACATTTATGTACGAATTTAAGATATGCACAAATGAAAACCAACAGCATGTTATCGAAGTTTCTATTAGAACATTGTGTTTTTTTTAAATAAAAAAATAGTATCACAAAATCTATCTGTTGCATTGACCAGGTTGTGCATCGCGCTCGTAAAAATAATAAAACGATTGGTCGGAAAATTATCGTATATTTTACGGAGTTACTACATCATCAAAACTGCTTATCAAGCCTGATAATGTCTGATGACGTTAACGCGTGTAAGATTACGACAACGTCCCTTAAGGTCTCCAATGATTTCATCTTGCATCAAACTGGTTCTCCTTCCTTGACGCGGACAAACGAAAAATCGGCCTTTTGAAATGCTTTTGGAAACACACTCCAGCGCGTGTATATACGGTGTATTTTCTCTCCTTTTTCTTCCCGTGCCTTTATTCACCGAGATAATAAATTCAAGTGTCGCGCTGTCTGTACGAGAGTACTCCGTCCTTGTTACCGTGCTTGTCACCGTTGCGTTTTCGCGTACACGAAATTATTTATGGGCTAACGTGGTGCACCGCGAGTGGTCTGGTGCGACAGACGCGAATCCCCGTGTTAAAAGTATGGTCACGATGAAGTTTGGCCAGCTGGTTCTTTTTCTCCAGTTCTTATTTGCTCTAAACTTAAAAAATTGTACGATCGAAATGACGATCGGGAAGGAATGGAAAACATCTTGCATCTAGTCGTCGCAATGATTTAAGATGAAAGCACTTTTGATGATATATATTTAAGTCGCAACGTTTCGACCTCTTTATCGGGTCCTTTTCAAGTACAATCTGGAAACAAAGTTCAACGGTACAAACCGCAATACAAAGAAAGGAACTTTTAGTATGTACATAAGTTTGTGCTACAAAGGAGAGAAAAGTACCTATTGTTGACCGAACAAATTAATTTATGCCGAAACAGTATGAGTTCATGAATCTGTGGCAGCAAATTTTTACTCGTAATAATTCCAGATATGACATATGGATAAAGAGGTCGAAACGATGTGACTTTATATATATAACTTTTTACCAGTTTGTACATATTTAAAAATATAAATAGATTTAAATTTATACATTGCATAATAAAACTAATTAATTGTTTACGCGAATGATTAGTTAATTCGTAAGTTTTTAGGCTGTTGTATTCTCATTGGGAAATGATTTGTCATGTACGAATAGTGATCGAAGAGCCGGGGGATGACGAGGTCAAGCAAAAGGAGAGTCTTCTGAAGTCGACGTTTCAGCATGCGAGGCGGCGTGCCAGGGCTATATGCACGAAGAAGACCCTTTACAAGAGGCTGCCGGTCTTGAACTGGCTGCCAAGGTACAACGGTCAAGATGCGCTCGGAGATTTGGTAGCCGGGATCACCGTGGGCCTCACCGTCATTCCTCAATCGTTGGCGTACTCGAACGTCGCCGGTTTACCGCCGCAGGTACATAAACGAACGAGACTTTTATCGGTCGCACAACGATTTACGTAACCCACCGAGATTGCGTTAGTGCAGTACACGTTTGACTAAATGCTTTTTCATTTAATTTAATTAATAAAAAGAAGCACGAATAAAATTGAAACAACTCTCGAAAGAAGAACATGGAGATTCCTTCTAGGTAAACCAATCCTCAAGAGATACGGAAATAAATAATAGCTGTGCCTTTTAAACTAATTAAAGGTTTACTTTTATAAAACTTTAGTTTAATGCTCGCGAAATTCGATGTTGAAAATTGCAAAGTGACTATGACTATCCTCGACTTTTTTTCTAAGGAGAAACTGATGTTCCTATATTTTTATTCATGTGTACATTATTTTTGCGTTTCAGTACGGTTTATATGGCAGTTTCTTGGGTTGTTTTATCTATGTAATTTTTGGATCCTGCAAGGACATACCCATGGGACCCACTGCCATAATATCTTTGTTGACTTATCAAACAGTGTCTCATTTGGACGCTCCGGTGCCGCACGCGATTCTATTGTGCTTTATGGCTGGAATCGTGGAGTTAATAATGGGTGTATTCGGTCTCGGTAAGTGATCTTCAATAATTTATCAAGATTAAATTAATGTGAAATGATAAAACACCGCGGTATTTAAAAGAAACCGTCGTTGTATTTAAAATTGCATGAAACGAACGGAATGGATTAATTATGTGATCAAAGTGAACATTAAAAGGTTTTAACTTAACTTAGCTCTGCAATAAATGACTATGGAAAATGAAATTTAATAATAAGAATATCGAGGAGCGCGTTAATCGAACTTCCTTAACGTTTGCAAATGAAATAAATCAGGTTTTCTCGTTCTGTTTAATATTAAAATGTCGTATTTGATTTCAAAATTCCATCTTTATCGCGCGACGAATGTGGAATGAATGGAGAAACTGAGATAACATTTCATTGTTTCTCTTCTTTCTAGGATTTCTAATAGATTTCGTGTCCGGACCGGTAAGCTCCGGTTTCACATCGGCGGTCGCCTTGATAATTGTCACGTCGCAAGTCAAAGACATCCTCGGTATTCCTGCCAAGGGCTCTCAATTTATCGAGATGTGGCAGAGTATCGGTGGGCTGATACACCAGACGTCCGCCTGGGACGCCGCCCTCGGAGCATCCTGCATAGCGTTGCTGCTAATTCTCAGGGTAATTATTCAATACAGCATTATGAGAAATGTATTGCGAGAAATTATGAAAATCCTCTCGCAACGCGACATTAATATTTAAATTTAATCAAGCGATTTAAATCTCGCGCAGAATATAAATTTAATGCGCGGAGATTTCCTTTAAAGCGAACGAAAATAAATTATAGCTTCGTATAATCCTAAATAAATACCCGCGATAACTTTTAGAGGAAGAGCGATCGAAGTATTAACGGGAAACAATTAAGTATTACAGTGATTTAATATTAATATTATTACAATTGAAATAAAGCGATGCTTTCGTATATATGTTTGCAGTTACTAGCCTCGTGCAAAATCGGCCCGAAAAAGGAGGAGCTCCACACTGCGAAACATCGCGTCGTGAACAAAATCATCTGGCTGATCGGCACCTCGCGAAACGCACTCCTCGTTGTAATTTGCGGTTTACTGGGCTGGCATTTTCAGGAGAACTCGCCCGTCAGATTGATTGGTATGTGAATCAAAATCTCTTTGTTGAAATCAGAACTTGCGCGACTGTAGAATAAACTTGCCTGAAAACGCATCGGCGCGTCACGTTGTAACGTAAACGGATGCAAACTTTCATCCAGTGCTGCGCCAGCAATCCGTAAAAATCTCGGATCGTTAATTATTTATTGATTACAGCGAAATAAAACATTAGATAAAATTGATCTTTATCGTATACCGTTGGGAGGGAAATTGCGTTAATAAAATATCCGGGCGGTCTAGAAGTAGGGGAGTAAAATTTCTTATTCCAGGCTATATACCGGGTGGTATGCCCACTGTACAACTTCCACCGTTCGGATTCGTCAAGGATGACAATGCGACGGTCACGTTTATCGAGATGCTCGGTAATCTGGGCAGCGGCATCGTCGTAATACCGCTCATCTCTCTAATGGAGGACATCGCTGTCTGCAAGGCCTTCGGTGAGCAACTCAAAAAGCGGCACCGTGTCCCGTCGCATAATTCCGCATTAAAAACCGACCCACTTTTGTCCCGCAGGATCGACTGTTGCGCGATCAATCCTCTCAATGCGATCAAATTGCCTGGGGGGGGGGGAGCTTCTTATACGTTTAGAACGGCTCTTTACGGAATTTATTGCATTTTTACAGCCAACGGGAAAACGGTGGACGCCACACAGGAGCTGATAGCGATCGGTATGTCGAACATCGGAAATTCCTTCGTGCAAGCTTTCCCGGGCTCGGGGTCTCTTAGCAGGAGCGCGGTGAACAACGCTTCCGGTGTCAGGACGCCGTTCGGCGGCATTTATACCGGTGAGTTCCGCTTGCGGTTTCCGCAAACCAATCGCATCCGTCCATCCCTCGCCGGACTTGGGCGCAAAGTCGAGAGCGAGGAAAGACCGGGCAATTATATCCTGCAAGGATTCCCTGCGCCGTTGCTGAATTCCTTCGGCAATATAGAATCGCGCGAGAAGCGAGTCTTTCGTTGCATAAAATAATAATGAAGAAAACTGTGTCAGGGTCAGGCAAAGCTGTATTTTTATTGCAATAATTGTGTGTTTCAGGTGTGCTCGTAATTTTAGCTCTGCTATTCCTCACCCCGTACTTCAGTTTTATTCCACGCGCCTCACTGGCGGCGATCATTATCGCCGCGGTTATCTTCATGGTCGAAGTCAAAGTGGTGAGGCCGATGTGGAGGACGAAAAGTAAGAGCTCGCGCTTCTCGCAAGTAGCAGATAAATTTGCCGCACGCCACGAAATTAACTGTCCCTCTTTCTCGCAGAATCGGACCTGATCCCGGGGCTGGGCACGTTTATCGCGTGTTTGGTGCTGCAATTGGAGATCGGAATCCTCTGCGGAGTCGGGATAAATATTCTTTTCATCCTCTACCACGCCGCAAGGCCGAAAATATCCGTGGAGAAGCTCAAGGTAATTATTGATTTGCTTAAAATACGAGATCGATCCTTTATTCGCGCGCGACCGCTTCGCCTCGCCAATTTTTCATCCCATTCTTGAACCAAGCTCGTAGTCTCCGCGAACTTTAGTGATATCGTCCCAAATAGCACGAGTGACTGTTATAAATAAAAAAAGAGTTCACTTTTTACAAATTCTTTATGAATTAATGCAGTCTGTGTTCAAAATGTACTCCAAAAGGATTCCTTTCAGATTTCTGTAGCTACGGTATAAAAAATATTCTTTTTGTATCTGGAAAAAGCTTAGAATTGGTGACATAAAAGCGAATTCTTTTTAGATCTTCTGTGCTCTCTTTCTCTCTCTCTCTCTGTATCGAGATTTCGATAATTCTTATTTTTTTGTGTGTTCGACAGACTGATCACGGTGTCGAATATCTGATGCTGACGCCGGATCGTTGCTTGATCTTCCCGTCGGTGGACTACGTCCGCAATCTGGTGAACAAGTACAGCCGACGCGCCGAGAGCGTCGCGACGCCCGTAGTGATCGACTGTTCGCACATCTACGGTGCGGACTACACGGCCGCCACGGTCATCGAGATCCTGACGAAGGACTTCGCCAAGAGGGGCCAGCCGCTCTTCTTCTACAATCTGAAGCCGTCGGTGTACGCCGTCTTCGAGGGCGTCGAACCCACGGACTTCGTCGTCTACTACAATCAGGAAACACTGGACGCGCTGCTGAAGCAGAAGGGCTACGTGAAATAGACGAAGCAGAGGTCTTACGGAACAGTAAAAAAAGAATATCGTTTCTGATCGCGAAAGGTGCATTCGTACTTTCATAGCGTGTTCCTCGGGGCTGTCATCCGGATGCGACAGCCGGTACACCAAATGCGCGGGCATTGAAAGACTCGAACGATTCTTTGACGCGGTCGAGTGGACTGCGCGGCAGCCCGTATTGCGTGAATCTTTTTAAGTCCAATCGCCATGAAAGCGAAATTTTATGAAGCAATTTATATTTATACGTCGTCGTCAGTTCGGCGGTGGCTCGCGGCTTGAAGTTTCGGGCAGCAACGAAAGCGAGGATGGAGGACGTAGAAGATACCATCGACCGTAACGACAATGTCTGAAAAGCGCAACTTTAAATGTAGCTCGTTCAGTATCGTCTCGGCGAGGGAATACTGGGCGAAATTATCTCGATCCGCGCGCGCGCGGTGAAATCAATCGGAAAAGGCAGGGAAAATGAAGCACGTATATACCTCGAATATATATATATTTCAAATATGTCGGTACATGTGCATAATACCGCTGTCATTATGTATCTCGAAGAGAAAGATATTGTGTATGCAATTTGGAAATATCCTGTACGATAGGATATTCTACAAGTTCCAGAAGCGAACTGGGGAAGCGTCTGAAAAATTAAAATGCAGCTCAAGAGCCGCACTTTTAGACATCTTAAGTATCTCGTAGATCCTCGTTCAAATTCTTGTCTCGTCTAAGTATTTATTTAACTCCGCGATGAAGCGGGACCATTCGCGTAACGTTATGAAATCGATATCACTCAACGTTTCTCGTTGTTTAAACCCGCTTACACCGTTCGCGGCGCGCATGAAGGAGCGTTGTACAATTTTTGTGCGCCTACTGCTTCATGCAAACCAGCACCCTCCGCATTCTGGGAACGCGTGTACACAAGTACAATAAGTGTGAACGATACTGTGATAATTTTATAAGCAACGCCTGGCGGACAAACTGGTGGAGAGATGTTCGTACCGCGGAAACGGCGGATCGCGTTAACTTCCGCCGTGACGCCTGTGTGTTATGGGAGAATGCGATGGATCTCTCGTGAATTTTTATGAAAACGTTGATTGCATCGACGACGCGTGATTCATAGTCTCGACGTGTCGACAGAAAGTTTTGCGGAACGTAATCCATTTACGAGATTCTCAATCAGTCCCTGGTAGCACCGTGCATTGGCCAAGCACTGGTCCAATGTTGGTTACACTAATAATTCATTGGCCGATAATTATCCAACGTAGAGCCAATATTGGCCACGTAATAAATGTAAATACTCCACGATAATAATCATATTAGATTTATATTGGAAGTGCATTGGCCAATATTTAACAGTGTAATAAGAATATTGGTCTAATATTGATACAATTTTAAACCGATATCGCTGAATAGACATATTGGCTGAATAAGAGAAGGCGCCTACCTTACAATATTGGACCAATATCGGGAATACTAGTTTTACATTATTTCCCAATATTGCGCCAATATATCGTGCTGCTAGGGGTGTGCAAAAAGAATCTGGTTTTCCATTGTATGTCCGTGTGGCGCATCCATTTTTTTAGAAAATATTATGCTACATAGTATAAAAAGAGTATTAATTATATACAATATATTTTTTATAGTAATTATAAAGATAATTATTTTTATATCACCGTTATAACTGTGGAGATCGTAATAATGATACGAGAGCTTATAATTTAATTTAGGTGAGTTAAGCAGAGTTTTTGAGCGATGCGGTAATATAATAGTAAAGGTAAAAGTTATTGCGTTCCTTCGGCGGCGATGAACTCTCGCCGCTGAAAGATGATTTTAATGCGGCGTGCTACTTCGGTGAGATTATACCAATATTAATCTGTAGAAAAATATTATGCTGCAGCTATGCGTAATAATTATGTTACATAAAAGAAGATTATAGGATCCTGTGGTAAATTACTTAATAGCGCTGCATCTGTGCTATCGAAGATAAGCTTCGTCCACTCGATAGACTTACAAGCGGTTGAAAAATGTATATAAATTGCAATAGTTTGTTTTATATCTCATGCACACACACACACATATATATATATAAAATACATAATATATGTATGTGTACATATATGTCAATTAATATGTAATTATATGTAATCGTGTATTAATTTTCTTCCTCATTTCCAGGCTTCGGCGTTTTATATCTGCATAAATAGAGGAAAGTCCCCTGCGAGATAGGATCCTAATATGGGATAGCGGGGTTTCTGTTAAATTAATAGGCGTCGTCTGTTGATTCGTCTGTTCTGTTTAGTGAACAATTCACTGTTAGATCGTGCAATCGTTGCGAAAAAAGATTTGCCGTTGAATTTGGGTGTTGAAAACCTGCTGTCTCATAATAGAGGACTTTCCTCCGTACATAATATATCAATATATAATTAATATATAATGCGTATAATAGCGCACGAATTCTTGTCGTCGTTTTCGGTCTCCTACGCGAAGGGATGCAATTATATCGAAAGCAATCTTCGCAAGATCGGTAACGCATATTTTTCTTGCAAAAAGGAGCGCGAGGGAGAAGACAACGGACTCGGATAAGAACCGCGCCAGAATAATTGGATTAACGTGCAGATATTTTTCACGATTTTCGCGCGGCGGAAAGTTCAGCGATAAATTTACAATTACGGTTTAATTTTAGAGATTGCCAGCGAACCGTCATCCGCTCGTCGGATTACCAGACCTGATCACCTTTCATTCGGCACGTGAAAATTGTATGAAACTGCGTAGCTTTGGTATTCAATGATCTAAAAAGAGAGTTGTTATCCGAAATCGCCCTCCTCCTCCCCACCCCATACGCGACCGCCACCCCTTACACGCGCGCGGTATAACCAGCTGCTGTGTCTCCCGATACAACAATTAATGATGTATACGCGATGACAGGGCGAATCGGTCCAGAGCGAAGGTCGCCCTCGCGCTCTCATTAGCCTGATTGTTCATCGACAGATATATCTTATCCCTACACGCCGCATTATATAGGGCGATGGTCTCCCTTCTCCCAGCCGGCCGGGCGTTATCGATTGTTACGAACACCGTCGCCAGAACCGTAGCCGAGAATCGCGGCGCCTACAGCGAATTATTTTCAACGCTCCTGTTTCAATGGGAGACGACTTAAAAAAAGAGAGAGCGAGAGGGAGAGATCTCGCATTGCCATAATTATTAAAAAAAGGAGGAAGGAGCCGGAAATCCCCCCGCGGTCGAATTTGGCGAACGGCCAATGTAAAGGACGGGGGCGCGAATGATCACGGCCGAGCTACGCGTTTCTCCCTCAGCTTCCTCTCGTCTACGCGGGACAAGGATATCTCGCGTGTGCGGCACAACGCCGCGATCGACGGGCCGTCGATCGCGGCGAGCACGCATGACGACGGAAGTGGCGCCGGACCAGGGACCGTGGACCAGTTACGGGTCTGCCCCGTGCCGTTTGATAACGCGCTAAATGTGCACTTTCCGCGCGCGGGGCCGTGTGCCCGCATCCGCAACCCTCCGCCGGCTGCGCCAGTCGCACGTTGGCCGATGACGGACGCGCACGGGGTGAAAGCGAACGCGTCTCCGACCGGCGGCACACGCTACCTGCGGGGTAAGTGCCCACGCAACCCCGAGCCCCTCGGTCTCGATCTCGGGGCCGTTCGTCCGGACGGGGCGACCGGACCTCCCCCGGGAGACGTCTCGACCCTCCGGAGGTATCGGGGCAAACGTCCTTGCTTCTTTTTTTTTTTACACTCAAAATTACCTGCCGCGCGCGCACGGTACGATTTACCTGCTGCTTTCGCGAGTCGGGCGAAATCGGACGGATCGGCTTTGCGTCTTATTTTGCCCTTCGGGACGGTGGGACGCGAGGACAGAGCTTGACTTCACGCGGGGCAATTTTGCGTTTTATGGAAATTGAGTGTGCGTCTCTACCGCGGGAACGGAAGCGAATTTGTTACGTGTCCGCTTTACGGAGCTTTTTTCTTTTACATGCAGACTGAGATTATGTAAATTTTGAGAAATGCACTTTTGTCCGAGAGTCTTCGAGGTCCTTGGCTGTCCCGACGGGCATTTCGGAATTTTAAGGATTGTAAGAACATCCCGAGTCTTGTTCTGTGCGTCTGTTTGTTATCTCCGTATCGCGAAATTACATTTTATACAGTTTGATTTAGTTGCGAATAAGAAGACACGCGCGCGCGATTTATCAAAGTCTCCGCTCCCTTACGGAAAAGTAAGGAAATAATTGCCGGAAAATTACTGTATATCAGTAATTGAATCATTACGAATTACTGAGGCACAGTAATTTTCAAGTAATTACTTCGTTGCTTTTCCGTAAGGGCGCACTTCTTCGCCGATCTTCAATTATGCGTAATTAAGAAGTTGTAATAATTAACTAAACTGTCGCTCGATTGAAGCTCACGTTTTTCTCATTATCCTCCCAGATAGCACGGAGGCTCGAGAAGACTTTTCGAATCATGCAATGAATATTCCTTTTCAATTCCGTTCCATTTCTAAAAACGTGAATAAGAGAATTCACTTTTACGCCCCCAATTCTCAACCCTTTTTTTCGCAAGGGAATTCCGTATAAGAATTTGCGAGAAGGAAAGGAATCCTCGTGAGTTCACGTCGAACAGATTTTTGCGCGGCAATTCATAAGGAATGTTACAAAGTTAACGCGTTTTTAAATTTACAACGATCACCCGCGTTATCTGGGTTGTTCCCTTTGCGCGGGGAGACGACGAGTTTCTCCCAACTCGGTTTCTATTAAAATTTAAAAACGCAGAGGGACCGGTGCACCCCGGTCCTTCGGTTGTCGCGGATGCTATCGCATTCGATTTTTCACCCGCTGCCGGATACACCAGTTGCATTTCCGCGCATAATTCACGAACGAGGATTATTTCTGTCTGATCGCGCGGCATTGCACGTACAGGGGTACAAGGGATCACAAGTATTTTCGAGTACCGACCTGATTCGTCACCTAGATTGGTGACGAAGGGTGGACTGTCAATCCTACATTGACGATAGTGAGTCAAATGCGTGGAGGGAGAGACTTTAGTCAAATGGATTATACTTAGGTAGCGGCCTAGTGACGTCAGTCAAGAAAGGAAGAATTTTAATAATTATGTAACGACCTTCCCAGTCAGAAATGACTCGAAAACCGACGTCGAGACAATATCGAATCGATGCATTTTTGGTTCCATTTTCGACTTGGCTCGACGTCGGTTTTCGAGTCATTTCTGACTGGGTTACTGGCAGTTCTTTGTTATAATAAAACGCGACGTTTCGGCCGGCGATACTGGTCCTCTTCAGGTAACAAACTTACAAGAGTGCCTACCCTTACGGAACAAACACTCAAGCTTTGAGTGTTAGCACTCGATTGTCCGAATTTACTCTCGAATGTGGGTGTAAAGATTTAAATCTGGGTGTTCACTTACAATGTGTCTAGTCAACGTTAGAAAACAGAATAATTACTATTATCGTTGACGACTAGACACACTGTACAACTATTCACTAACAGAGACAGCGATCTTTCTAACGTCTGTAGTCTATTCCTCGAAGACAGATCGGGATCCGGAGTTTTTGCTTCCCTCTCGCTTGACGATCGAGGGGCTGGATCGATTCATCGATCCTTCGTCACGAACCTCAAGCACGCGTACCAATATATTTTCGAGTCCTGCGTGGGGATCCTCAGGGGATGAGACCTGACCAAGGCCGAACCCGAACCGTAATACGTAATATTTCATTTTACCGGAGGAGATCTTCCAAGATATCGGGGTATCTTTCAGACGGCATCGGTGCGAGCGTGCCGGCGTCGATGAGGAGGACGGCGGACACCGCGGCGGTATAATGGCACCCAGGAAGCCGACCAAGTACGACGACTCGTAAAACCCGCCAAGATGGAATTGCGCAAGGGCTCCTGGAAGATCGCGATCCTCGTGTGCGCCCTGGTCATCTACCTGTGGATGCTCTTCGTCGATCACTCGCACATGCTGGCCGACATGTCGCAGAGGATCACGCTGCAGCGAGCGCGGATCTCCGCGCGGAACGTCCTGTACCAAGGTCCGGATCGACCGAGGATCGAGGAGGCGCTTGCGGACGGCCGGACGGATCCGAAGAAGCCGCAGCCGCCCTCGCCACGGAACGCGAGCGGCGCGCCCGAGAGAGGCGCATCGGATTATCAGACGCTCAAGCAGCAAGTGCCAAGCCGGCAATTGCCGACCGCCCTGATAATCGGCGTGAAGAAAGGCGGGACGAGGGCACTTTTGGAGTTCCTGCGGCTGCACCCCGCGATACGCGCCGCCGGCTCCGAGGTTCATTTCTTCGATCATCACTACGTCAAGGGGTTCCGTTGGTACAGGTGCGTGCGACAAGTCGCTCGACTATCGAGGCACAATAATTTGCACTAATCCACCTGAAGCCTCGGTATTACCGAACTCCGTGGTATAAGTTCTTCGATCTTGTTCTCGCGAAAATTATTCTACACGCGGGTAATAACTTCCAAGTAACAACTTCTTCGAGTAAGGATAGCTTCGTTGAAACGAACGTTAACTTAGAAATTGCTAATTTCTTTGATAAGTAATTAATTGAGCGATTTAATTTTTTTTCTCTCTGAAATTTTTGGGGCGAAAATACTGCCGTGGTGGTGAAATTTTCACTTTATTGGAGCAAATATTTATTCTGTGTTGGAGTAAATATTTACTGAAATAGGGTGAATATTTCACTCCACGGCAGTGTTTTCACTCCAAGGACTTTAGAGAGTTAATATAGCGTATTATAAAATACGACGGTGTGTAATTAGGCGCAGGATGCCCCCGACTCTGGTCGGCCAGATCACCATGGAGAAGACGCCGTCGTATTTCGTGACGAGCGAGGTGCCGAAGAGGGTGAAGCACATGGACCCGGGGATGAAGCTGATCGTCGTGGTGAGGGACCCGGTGACCCGGGCGATCTCCGATTACACGCAGGTGAAGAGCAAGCGTCGCAAGATGCCGCGCTTCGAGGACCTGGCCTTCCTGAACGGATCGCGAATCGTGGACACCTCCTGGATGCCGCTGAAGATCGGGGTGTACGTGCGGCATCTGGAGCGGTGGCTGCAGTACTTCCCGCTGTCGCAGTTCTTATTCGTGTCCGGCGAGCGTCTGATCGCCGACCCGGTGATGGAGATCACCCGGGTGCAGGACTTCCTGGGCCTGAAGCGGGTGATATGCGAAAAGCACTTCTACTTTAACGCCACTAAGGGCTTCCCCTGCTTGCTCAAGTCCGAGGACCGCGCGACGCCGCACTGTCTCGGTAGGACAATCAGAGAAATGAATTTCTACCACGCAATTGTTTGTCATGAAAAATTCATTTTCAGAAAATTTATACAAGTGGAACGCGGTTCGCAGATTTCAGAGCGGTCTCCCTTCGATTTTGAACGGAGCAATCCAGATAGCACGGAGAATACGACAGGAATTTTCTTTGAATTACCGAATGACGAGATGAATTCTCTCCCCATCTCATTTCTGTTCTAAAAACATTCTTAAAGGTTGATGAGAACTCGCTTTTATGTCAGCAATTCCGAGCTGATTTTTTAATACGAAAGGGATTCTTTGTATTCGGAACACCTTTAATTTTTATCTCCATAAGAAGTCGAAAGGTATATTTCTATAGGGAATCTTTTACAAACTTAATTCCTGCTCGTTATAGAAGGTGCAGACTCCAACGCTGGCGAGTTTCGACGGTCAAGTCGCGTGTCTTTTGTAGTTTAGACATATATTAAAATTAATACTTTTTATATTGCGCTATTTGAGAACACTTCTTCAAAAAAAGGCATTTCTTTCTATCGGTCTTTCTGATTCTTTTACAGTTTGAAATTTTTCAAACTTTTTATGAAATGTATTTTTTTATCCACTTCCCTGTCGGAAATAATTCTACAAAATTCTACAAAAAGAATAAAGTTTTGTACTAATTTTTACAAAATTGTACATTTTTATGAAATACTACTTGCAATAATTTTTTTATTTGAAAGCATTGTAATTTGTGGTACTATTTCGTAAACATTTTTGCAAAAAAATTAATGTTTCAGCAAAGATATCAAATTTTCTACAAATTTCTATTTCAAGTCAATTTTTTTGTAGTTATTTATAGAAATTTTTCCGCTAGGGTTGGTTGCGCAAAATATTAACCCAGCGAGAAATGACTCGTCGATTGCGCAACCAACCCTAGTTGAATCAACATCGTTTCGATATCGATAGACAAATCATTTCTAACTGGGAAAGAATCGTATACGTTTGATATTAATTCGTTATATCTTTTTATAGGTAAGAACAAAGGTCGCAGTCATCCCTACATCAATCCTATGGCTGTGCAGCGTCTTCGAGATTTCTATCGGCCGTTCAATCAGCGATTTTATCAATTGGCGGGTATGGATTTCGGCTGGTACTAAAATCCACGCGTATTACATACATACATATCGTAAGCAGGAAAACGGAACGGAGTCAATTCTCGTTGTGTATCAAGTACCTATTGGTACTTATCGAATACGATATCTAGTTACGCCTGAATATCTGTAATCTGATAGGAACATATGTACATTACAGTCATATCGGAACGCGCCGTTAGTCCATAGCGTTTGAACGAAACTTTTCCGAAATCTTGCTTCCGATGATGTAGCCTTCAGAGTTTCGTCAGGTTTTAATCTTGTCAAATTTAATTGCGAGAGAATATGCATATCTTTTCTAACTTTTTGTTATCACTAATGTAATGTAAATAATTTAAAGGAATTCCATATATATAAAACTTTTTGAAGTCTTGCTTTCGATAACGCAGTCATCAGTTTCATCTTTTCAAATTAAATTGCAAGCAAACATCCGATACAGCACAGGAGCTTGCAGCAACATAATTCCGTTAATAAAAGAAAAATTTGAAGATTATACATCTCCGTTGTTAAACGAAAAACTTGAAAAGTATACATTTTAACATCGACACCGTACAATAAACGTAACTGAGGTAATGGTTAATCGAGACACAATCGTCCGAAAATAATCATATGTATTTTCATTTATAAATTCCGTATAAACTAGTATTAATAGATAAATACTACTTAAAGCATTCGATTTAATATTTCAAGTATTATTTCGCGTTTTCAACCTAGATACAGCCAACAAATTATATATATTTTCATTTATAAATTTCGTATAAACCAGTAGTATTAATAGATCACCGATAAACGTTAGTTAAAGCACTTAATATTTCATCTATTATTTCGCGTTTTCAACCTAGAAACAGCCAACAGATTATACTCGAAGCGACGAGAGATTCAATGCGACGATACGAAATGTGTCCGAATACGGGCATTGTTTGAACATCTTTTCTAACATATCTTTTTATCGTATTGATTTAATATAGCGTTATAATAAAATTAATTTATTAGAGCTCCGTATATAATAGAAACCATTGTGTTCCATTTGTTATTTGTAACATAGATTATTTAGATTTGTAGTTTAGTGTATATTAGATTACCACTGTAAAATTAATAGAAAGGAACGATATCTCTTAGAATTATGAGGAGTACAGTTGCCGTCCGGAAGTCTTTACGAAAAGAAACCGCGACATATCTACAATTATATCCTATAATTATATATAATTATTATAACGAAGCTATTACAATAATGAAATTATATCTCAGAATCATTTTGAAGATATACTTCTATACGAAATAAAAGGAATATAAATTCACTATGAATATATACATTAATGATACGTGCGAAAATAAACGGGAGCTATAGTTTCTTTAGACTTTAGAACAACGTTAGTTCTGCTGAATAAGACGAATTTAGTTTAACACATCGTAATTAGCTGACCTGAATGCCAATATTAGAATGCATTACCGGATCTTCACTCTTGGGAGATTTCTTTTTAATTCTGTAGAAATGACAGATATTAGCGCAATCTCAATGCATCGCTTTGTAAATCGGTGAACTCATGTACAATGTAACAGCGATTATTGTAACAATTGTGCAACGAAGGGACGAGGCAATTAAAAAATTACTACCGGGCGAAAGTTTATAAGTGCTGACCGTATTATAAAAAAATTGTATCTTGAAAACTTTTGAAACAATTCATTTAACTGTATTATCAAAGTTTTAAGTAATTCACGTGTAATTATAACAAAATCTTCCATGTCGCAATACAAGTTGCACCAACTATATAATATTGTATACATGAAGTCGCGATCTTTAAGTAAAAAGAAAGAATTTATACATATTGTATCTGTAAATTATATATTTTAAAATGTTATATTCTACATTTAATTCGCATGCATACAATTTCTTTATTTTTTTGTATATTCGATACTCGATCTTACAATCTCTTCGCCCTCGTTAACAATCCAATTGTGCATTTGTCTTTAATGTAATATATAGTATGACAATGACGAATAAGTATAAATATAATATTAAAATTCGCTAGTTCCTAAGCATTAAAATCTAGTAAATGCAAATTAGCAAAGATACGGAGTATTTATGGAGCAGCTAGACAGGAGAGCTCTTATGTAATTAAGTCACGAGTCAGAGATTTAATTATGCAGGATATAACGTAAAATACGGGAACGGAAATAATGAGAACATTTCTTGAACAATTACATATCGGAGTCGGTTTTCCCAACGAAACATGGGCGTATTTTTAGCTCTGCAAGTGGTGAAATAAGCACACGCTTGTCGACTCCTGCGTTTCACGATATATTCTGCGTAAATCAGCGTTAATAATAAAATTAATCTAAGGAGAACAGTAAATTATGAGACAAATCCGAAAACGACGGAGTTAATTTTCGGGCATACGGAGAAAAGTTAGCGAGGTATACAAGTTTAGACAATTAGAGTGCAACGTATGTTAATACATTTTGTATGTAAGAAAGAGTAATAGTTAACTAATGTATTTACTCGACGACGATTGGAGGGCTATTTATCTAGTACGTAAGAACGAAAGTAGATAGCGTTTAGCGATACGATCCGTGCGAGTGACGAACGATGTAATAGTGAAGCACAGTGCTTTTGCTCAAATTGTACCACAGGAGGCTGTCAATACTAATATAAGTATTTCGTACATTGTTTTAAATATGTTTTGAATACAGGCTATTTGACAAATAGAGCAAAATATGTATTGTACATAAATGTTGCAGGATGTCCAAGAGTAACCGCGACTCACCCGACGGTAGATACTACATAGATTCGGATTTCTTTTTGTAGTCGATTATAAATAGCACGCAAACGCTATGTAGAAGCCGCTTGTCCCCAAGTCCCCGGTCCCTTTCCTTTGATGCTATTTATCTCGGCCATTGAATGATACCAATTTGCTTCAGAAATCATAACTCGTGTTGTTCTTTAAAGGAATTTATTAACAGAATATAATTTGTAGCGAGAAATATCTGTGCATACAATATAGAGTACATTGCAGATGGAGAACGTTGTACAGCAACGTGGCTGTATATGAATTAATATTATCAGTATATAAATTCCCACATATTTTTCTATCTTTGCATTACAAAATAGAGGTTCAAAATTAAAGGAGTATAAAAGTATCTAACAACAGGGGTGCTGTCTTTTTCAGATCACACGATGAGTTAGATCGATCGCAAAGGAACATTCATCGTCGCAAAGTACTGTTTGCTATATTAAATTTACTATGACATATCAGTACTTTAAATCCTTGGTGATTGCATTATAAAGGCGACATAGTAAATTGAAAACTATGCATATAAATATTGCTGTCATTAACATCATTAACGACACAGTAAGTATCTTCAATTGTTTTTACGCGTTGCATATTACAAGAGGAAATATATTTCTGCGGTATCGACATTCTCTTTTCAGCAAAATATTGTTTCTTTGCACAATGCCCGATCTGAATCTTTAATTTTCTCTAGTATTAAACCCATCTCTAATATTTATATTATTTGCATTCTTCGGAGATTCTCTCTGAATATTTATCGAATATATGCATATACATATATTAATATATATATTCGCAGATCGTTTATCTTCACATTCAGACTCCCGATTATAAAAATATTTACTAAATACAGTCTATTCTTAATCGGTTTAGGCTAAAGGAACGGAAGAACGGGAGGCTATAATTCTTCGCTCATTAATTTCCTGTATTCTTGTTGGTCTTGAACCATTTTCTTGAATACGAGATACTTCCGAAAGTGATATCTGAAATAGTTACAAGCAGATATATATATATATAAAATTAGATTATTATAAATCACAAATAACAATATAGAAATGTCTCCTTTTCTTTTTCTTAAAGTCAGTTTGTATTTCGTTAGAGCTTTAAGTAGAGACGCAATACTTTTTTTTAAACACTGTTCTCGTATTTTTGCACTTATTGATCTTGTATTTACTTGTAACACTCGCTCGTCGGTTTCACTATGTTCGCCGGCCCCGCCATTCTCTGGACAGTCTCGCGCATGGAATATTTTTTCGTGGCACACGCACCGAGAATCGCCGCGCCTACCAAAACCGATTCTCGTTCCACAGGACAGAGTACCGGTAGCGCTAACACGTCGGCTTGTATTTGGATGAACAGCGGATTCTGACTGAGTCCGCCGCAAACTAATATACTCTCTATATTGTGACCTGCCGCCGACAGAACTTCGATTATATGCTTCGTACCGTACTGAAAATTAACAACATGTTATGACGTCAGTCAAAAAAATGAATGCGTTGACAATAATCGTATCTGCTGATGCGTTAACAGTTAACTCTTATCACGAATAAGATCATTTTAATAATAAAATCATTTCAATATCTACTTTTTAGATTATATTACATATTAGTTAAAAAAATCGTTCATCTCCACTAGCGAAGACAACTATTTTAAGTAAAAATTTTCTATTACAACGTCTAATGAGTAAGAGTTAACTTTTAATTTGTGGCATACCGTTAGTGCCTGCACTGTTGCCAAGTATAATAACGCTAGATTCTCCTGATCCACAGACAAGGACAATCCGGATATCTAAGTTAAACAATAGCGTATGAAATTATATCCATGTTCAAGGCGTGTTCAATAAAAGATATTAATGTCTCAGTACCATTCCTTTCAGTGTTGGATCGGCAAGGGGCGAGCGATTACCGTGGAAATCCGGCCACACGTGTATGTCCTTCGTCAGATACGACACATTCTGCAGATTCTTCTGCTCGGCCATAACGTGCAACAGTTCGGACAAGTATTGTTGAATGTGCCTGAAACGAATTAACTTTCGTACACGTACGCTCGCAGTCCCGTTTCGATCAACTCACTTGTTGCCGCCTAAGGTCTTCAGGATACCCGGCGTCGCTGGGTGCGTGTCGATGACGTGATCGAGCAGCTTACCGGTTGCACTCTGACCTCCCTCGTTGAGCCAGAAACCGGGCACCATCGCGCTGTAGTACGGGCCCCAAACGCCATTCACGAATACCTTGCTCTCGTTGACTATCATGTGGCAAGTCGACGTGCCGCAAATCAGAGCTGGAAATTACAAATTTCCGCTGATTCTCTCTCCTTTCAGCCTAGCAACCCGGTACCGTCAATCTAGTGTCTCGCGCACCCAATCGATTGGAGAAATTCTGCGACACGTCCGGCACGTAGCAGCCGATCATGCCGAGCCCACCGGCGTGTGCGTCGATCAGCGAGGTCCCAACCGGCGTGCCTTTCAATAATCCCAATTCCGACGCGGCTTTCGTCGACAGTCCGGATTCAATCGCGTCACCCGGTACCCTTACATCGTTACCTTGACATTAATATTAGCTTCAATTAAGATAAAGACATCAGCCACGTAAAGTTCTCGTGTCACATATTCAAATTATACCGATGCTTCGTAACGTCGAAGCTGGCTGAATAGTTTACAATCCGAACCCCTACGCATCGTTGGAGGGAAAATTTATTGTCGTTAATGACAATTATTCTTCGTCACTGATGGAAAGCAGTTTCCTTTGTAAAGGTCTGTGCCCACGATGCTAAGTCCAAGTTGAACCAAGTTCCAGCATCGTGGACACAGGCCTCGAGGACTCGATTTTCGGTAAATCGAATACGACAACACACCTATTTTTCTCCAATTGTCCTTCTTCAGGTCCCGTAAATTGAGCTGCTCAAAGAAATCCTCGTCCCATCCGTTCCTACCGTTGGGATTGGCGCTATAGTTCCACTTACATACTAACGAACACAAGGATCTGAAAGCGAGAGATAGTAATGCGACCTCGCTGCCCCTGCTTTTCTGTGTATTAAAGGACTCGGGGATGTATACCGCGACTCCGACTCGGTGGCTTTCCACGTCAAAAAGTCGGGTAGGTCGAACAGCAGCGCCGTCGCGCTCCAGGAAGCGGGCAGATTCTTCTTCAGCCACAGCATCTTCGGCGTTTGCATCTCGAGAGAAACCTTGCCGCCCACGTACTGCAGTATATCGTGGCCGGTAGAGTTGACCAGGTCGGCTTCCTCGCGCGCTCTGTGATCCATCCACAGTATGACATTCTGCTTCTCCTGCCCTGAACAATTGTCACCGTCAATTTTCCGTGTCGCGGCGTATTCGAAACAGGAAATATCCGCCGGGTTATCTCTCTGTACCTGTGGGACTGACTGTTACCGGCGAGCCCGCCTCGTCCACCGCCACCAGCGAGCACGTAGCGTCGAATCCAATCCCCTTAACGTCCTCCGCGGAGATGTCGGCGACGACTGACTGCAAACAGGGGCAAAATGAGATCCCGGGTCCGCTCGGACTGGCGACACGCGCGCGGCCGCGAGCGTCTTATACCTTGACAACGTGGCACACGGCGCTCCAAATGTTATCGGAGGACTGCTCGTAGAAGTTGGGCGCCGGGTGGAATATCTCGAGCGGGCACGTGGCCACCTTCTTGATCCTGCCGCCGGAGGTGACGAGGGCCGCCCGGACGCTGCCCGTCCCCACGTCCACGCCCACGAAGAGGTCCATGTCCGCGTCGACAGCTGTGTGGGCCAGATCCGCGTCCGCGCAATCTCGCGCCGAGCAAAGTCGACTAGGCGCTACGCGTCGGGGGGCCCCAGGCACGGGCCGCGAGGAGGAAGCGGCCGTCGGCCAACCATACCGCGCGCGTTAATCATTGACACATAGTGCCTAAGATGACATGACCCTGAGATAACATTAATTGCGAAGGAGATACGGAGTGAATAGAGACCTCAAACAGTGTTGCGGCGTTATCAGCCGATGCCTCTCCGATCCGGGGCGGCGCACACGATCCGCTCGCTTCTACGCGGAACGTCGGCGCGGCCGCGAACAGTCTTCAGCGGGCAGTCGCTCGGTCGTGCTCGCCGTGTCGCGGGGGCCGTTTTCGCGCGCTCGGCGAAAGCCACCCTAGTCGACGCTCGCCGGCGTGGAGGTGCGTAAACACGTCGCTTCGTACCCCACGCACGTGTACGACGCACACGTGCGTGGCGTGGCGCCGCACGCACGTGGCAACCGTACCAAGCCGTGCGCTTGACACCGCGGCGCGACCTAACCTCACCTAACCTAACCTAACCCCCGTTCGACCGCGGCGCACGTGTCCCCGGACTCTCCGCCGTCTCCGGCCGCCGTTCCGCGTTCGTCGTCGTCCTCGTTTCGTCCCGGCGTTCCCGGCGAAGACGCCCGGACCCTCGGAATCCTCGGCGGCGCCGTTCGCCGCTGGAATAACCTAAAAGATGGTCCGCTTCAAAAACAGGTGAGTGGTGGCGAGAAATGTTCGCACTTCTCGTTTCTCTGAAGTCTGATCTACTTACCACGCGCTCTTTGCATCTAGAAACGTTCCGCTTTGTGGCGTGAATACGTTTAAAACAACATTTGCACAAGTTGCACGTTGCACAGTCGTACGTTGTCGGCGAAGTTTTTAGGCGTTTCGATCCGCTGATGCGAAAAGTAGAATGTCTCTAGACGCAGGTAGCACGTTGCACCAAAGCTCTCGGAAACATTTCAGAAACGGTGCGACATTGCAGCAATGTTTTCTGAAATGTTTCTGAAAGCTTCGGTGCTGTATGGGGCGTTCATCTTAAGCCCAATGTCCACGATGCTAGAACTTGGACCAAGTTCTAGCATCGTGGACATTGGCCTTAACAGCATTGGACCAACATTGGGCGAACGCCAGATTCACGTTGCTTCCCAATATTGCGTCAATATATTGTGCTGCTAGGCGAGAGACTTTCAGGATAGACCTTTCACCGTCCGTTACCGTCTGTTCAGATACATCGTCTTCACGATACAGCCGCACGACGGCGGGGACGACAAGCAGGCGGCGTGGAAGAACACGCACGTGTCCAACGCGATCAAACGGAAGGTGCAGCAGTTGTACGGCGACGTGGGCACCGCGGCGATAAGGGACGGCTTCGACGGTAATCTGGCGCTGGAAACGTTGTCACGTTTCAGTTAGATAAGCACACTTTATCTCCGTTTATCCGCTCTCTCTAGCCCGAGTACTAACAGTTGTCTTTTGTTGCAGCGAAATATTGCAACGCGCAAACGAAGATCGCGATAGTGAGGCTCAGGCACGGGCCTCACAAATTCGCGCTGCACGCTATTCCGCTGATAAACGACGTGGGCGAGCGACGGGTGAGGACGAGGATCCTCCACGTGGCAGCGACACTGAAACACTGTTTTCTCTTCGTCAGGGTAAGAGTACGACATTCGTCCGTCTCGTGCCCGCGTTTAGTTGACGAGGAAAGGTTCACTCTGCCTTCTTCTCCTCTTCAGAAATATCAGGAACAAACGCTGGAACAATTGTGGTCGAAACTACCGACGGAAGCAGAGAGGAGGCGGATGGAGGTCGCGCTAATGACCTTGACGCCCGCTACGAGGGACCTCACGTAACAATCGCCATTAGATAGTAATTAATTTCATTAAATTGTTGTTTTAAGTTTGCAAATAAAAGCGGAGTTTCCTAACAACTCGCGTGGACGCGCTATAACGTTTCGTCGCGACGGGTCCCTGACGTTTTTCGCACGCGACGAGATTAGGCGACAGTAAAGCCCTTTCTTCTTCCTTTTCTTTTGTTAACTTCTAATTCGATTGTCTGTGCATCAAAGGTATAGGAGTCGAATCTTTCAAAACGCTTCCAAATCAAGTCTTCATGTTCGAATTTGAATCAATTTTTGCTGGGCTCGTATATCGACTTGAAAATAAACCCACAAACTTGATCGTTTTAAAAATGACTTTATTATCACATACGAAATCGACTCGCCGATGATTCGGAGACGTCGAGTTATTCGAATTCGAGTCTCTTTGATTCGAAAACGAGTCGAATCGAACCTTGGGTGATTCGATTCGAGCAATAAAACGGGAACAGAATGTCAGAACAGTCCGTGTAACGTCTCGGCCCGAGATCTCGATTTTTGAATTCATTCGAGTTGGTGGGGAAATCAGGGGAAAAGCGTAGATGAGATGATGGGGACGTGGGGAGGTGGAATCGTGTGTGTGTGTGTGTGTGTGTGCCATTTTAACGCTGTACGTGGCGACGTGATTATAAGGAAGGACGTGAAAAATATATCTTCTATTTACTGTCGCAACAAGTATACTTGCGAGATATATTTTTGGTTACCGGATACATTTTTCATAATGGTTAGCATGTGTTGCATTTGTCGAATAGAACATGGAGCTGTGGAAAACGTTAGTCATCATGGGTAAGTATTTGTAAAGGTTGCTCGTGTTTATACGATTGAAACAATTACGTATTCAACATCCTTATTTCAGTAACAGCAATTGCACTGTACTTCTTTCTCTCATGGTACATATTGAAATAATAGTATTGGAGGTTATGTATTTTGATTACTTGTGTGTCAACGCGAGTGAATATTTTTGTATTTTCAGCCTACCGAAGAAAGAGGATTTAAAAATGAAATGGTACGCAAATATCGGGCGCAAAGTTGGTCGATGGAGCGCCGTTTGCAGTCAACATTTTCAAGAAGAAGATTTTCGTTACAAGATAATCGGCGGTGCCGTAAGGAGATTTTTAGTGCCTACAGCAATACCTTCTTTATTGCTTAACAAATCGGACGAGTATGCTGTTCTGAAATATTTTTCTTTGACAATGAATTTTTTTTAATAACATTTCAAGCAGTGAGAAATGTTAACATATGTGATTACCACTGCTTTAGCCTTGTTAATTAAAATAAACTTTAATACCGTTCTTGTGCATTATTTTTCACAGTGTGCAAGTTAAGACTGAACGAACAATTGAGGATGACGTTTCACAAGCTACTCCAAACATCGTTAATGACACTGCATTATTGAACAATTCATCAGAAATTAGTTTTGTAGATTGTAAGGAATACCAGAATATAAACAGTATAGTCAGTGACGAAGGCAGCAAAGCACCAACCTTGGAAAGGCAATATTAGTATGCATACTTTTGTATAATTAATATAAGTTGTAATATTAATATCATTTCTTACCAATATTTTATGAAATAATTAAAGTAAACTTTAATACTGTTCTTGTGCATTATTTTTCACAGCGTACAAGTTAAGGCTGAACAGACAAATGAGGATAACGTTTCACAAGCTACTCCAGACTTAAACATCTTTAATGATACTGCATTATTAGACGATTCGTCAGAAATTAGTTTTGAAGATTGTAAGGAATACCAGAATATAAACAATATAGGCAGTGACGAAGGCAGCAAAGCACCAATCAACATAGAAAGGCAATATTATTATGCACACTTTTGTATAATTAATATAAGTTGTAATATTAATATCATTTTTTACCAATATTTTATTTAATAAAATATTGTATTTATATGTAGGGTAGTACAGCAGCCCCTTACAGATGCAGAACGTTGGTGCAATGCTCGCTATATAGGAGATTTACAAAGAATTGATTTTACTTCCGATAAGAGTTGGATAATTGTACAAGACTTTTTGAAAAATATGAGAAGAAAGCAAAGAACTTCGAACCAAAAAATACACCGCTTAAATCGCAAAGTTAAATCGTTGAAAGCATTACTTAACCATTTCAAGCAGAATAGCAAACTTTCAAATAAAGCTGGCACTTCATTAGAAATAGGTAATTAGTTTCTCTTACTGTATTGACAAATCTGAATGTTATATGACGCAATTATGTTAGCGTAAAGATGAATAATAATTTACAATTTACAAACCTAATTTAATAGATCATTTAATTATGTAATTGTAACGCGTTACTTTTCAGAATTGTTAACTGTAACTAGTTACATTTCTAGCAAAAGAACTGTAACTGCAACTAGATACTTTAATAAAATAACTTTCCCAACTCTGGTTTTTAACAGAGTTGGGACAGTTACATTGATAAAAGTATCTCGTTACAGTTTCTTCGCTAAAAATGTAACTAATTACAGTTACAAGTTACCAATTCTGAAAAGTAACGCGTTACAGTTACTTAAAAAGTAACGAATCGTTACTCTGCAGTTACTTTCTAGCAATGAAAATAAAACTATCAAGTCTGCATTCGAATTGTAAAGCGTCGGTAAAGGCGTTTATGCGTAGATGCAAGGCCTGATGCAATCTGTGGAGGTTTAAAAAAATACACAAAGTAACTATTAAATTAGTTACTAGTCATCGAAAGAATGTAACCGATTGTGAGTTAAGTTACCGTTACAGACGAAGAGAAAGTAACGAAGTTAAGTTAGAGTTATCGAAAAAACTAAAGTAACTGTAACTGTAACTTCGTTACAAGTAACGAGTTGCTTCCCAGCCCTGCAACTTTTTAACCATTCAACTTTGCCGCGAGAGCCGAATTTTCGTATGCGTTTCTCCTCGGAATACGAGTTCAAGAATCGAGCCCGGAGTCCTCGATTCGAATCGAATCACCGAAGGTTCGACTCGAATTCGATGCACTCGGGGGGGGCCGAGATGCCGCGCGGACTATTCCGAGTCCCCGTTTTATTGACAAAAGATCTTTTCAGCCAATGCGAGTCCTTCGGAACCCAACTAGTGGCGCTTTTACTGACGAAAGAGAATCCGGAGCACGAGCCTCGTTATCCTCCGCGCCAGAGGAAAGGATACCGCCGCCGCCTGCCGCCAGTTGTCGCTGCCCGTCTCGCCGGACGGGAGGCCTCCCTTCTCGCCCGCCATCGCCGGTGGTGCGTCCATCCCGCCGTTATCCTGCTCGCCTGTGTTCGCCCTCGCGCGCTCGCTCGGATCAGTTCGTACGCTTTCGGGTCGTTCGCTGCATTCGCTGCGTGGATCCGTCGCGGACCCGAGGGGACTGACTTCGCGTACCCGTGGCCGGCGATCGAGACGAGACGAGGAGTCGCGGATGTTGACGGTCGCCCCCCCGCGATCGCCGCGTTTACGCCGGACGGTTTTAACGGACGCGGCGGGAACGAGCGGACCTGCCGCCGCGGCGTCGACCGCGTCTTCCGGTATCCTCGGACAACCGCCGTCGTCGTCGTCAACGTCCGGGACCGAAGGACCACCGTCGACACACCGGCGCGAGCTCCAGGTAAGCGAAATTCGTCGGCTCTGCCTATCGATCACGCTTGTTTGGACGCGCGCCGCAACACCTGCCCTCGGCGATTGGATCCACCCTCCCGCCGAGGCCTGCGATCCCTGCGGTAGGCGCTCGCCTAATGCGCCGTTTCTACTACTCCAATTCGATTTAGCTCACTTCTTGTCTCTTCCCGACTCCTGGAGCTGGAGGCAATAAATTGAACCGAGATCGGACCCAGCGGGGAACGATTCGTCGAAATGGCGTGTCGACGTCGACACCGTGAAATTGATGTCGACTCGACGAGTCGTTTCTCACTGGGAAGTTAATCGGCACTGGTGGAAACGGACACGGGCGAATCTCGAGCGTCGACGACAACAGGAAGTTTCCCACGAAACCGACGTCCGGCACGGATTACGACGCACGTCGGACGCGGAGGAGAATCGCGCGGTGTGTGTCTGCTCCGATTATATTTACATGATCCTTGACATTCGGCTCTTAATCGAACGGACGCTGCGCGCGTTGAGTGTCTGCGTCCAAAAATAGCCGTTCCTTGATGACACGGTGAATCCTTAACCGCGGTTATTGAGCGCCGAGTGTCCTGAGGGCACTTCTGTTTTTAGATACGAAAGGGGAGGGAAGTGAAAATAACCTTTCCACGTCCAGTGCGCGCCGCCGTGCACCTGTTTCCCGCATCTGTGATTGCGCGGGGCCGCGAGAGCATCGCATTCGTTTTTCTCGAGAATTCGTCGGGCCCACATGTCTCTGTTTTCTATTTTTTCCCCTTAAGCCCGTGTCAGACTGCAGACTCCCGACTCTGACTCGACTACCGACTCGGACTCCCGACTATGATTCAACGAATCAGAGGGGCGTCTAGTCCCGAGTGCTTTGCTGTGATTGGTTGAATCATATAGTCGGGAGTCGGAGTCAGGAGTCTGTAGTCTAATACGGGCTTTAGGGGAACATCTACCACATTTGTCCTACGACACACGTAAAGTCCGGTTTGCAATGTGCTCTTTGCGTTTAGAAACATTCTATTTTACGCTCTTCACGAGTTCACACTCGAAAAAAAGATTCCTGATCGAGCCCCAGGCTAATCTTCAAGAGGAAAAGCAGTTGGCCGAAGTCGCAAAATACGCAGCGGGAGACCCTTGAAAGATAAATGACACCCGACCCTTAACTGTGGAGGGGACTCTTAAGTACGAGAGGGAAAAAGTCAGATAAAAATAGCTGTTCTGCACTTTGCGCTTGTTGCTATATTTCCTTGCATTTTTCAGCGTTAACTGTGCGCCGGATTAAGTCCCGTTCGTTTTTTCCCGAGAGGAGAGCGATTGGTCAGCATTACGAGATATAAAAAGCAAAAAATGGCAGGAAAGATGCGTCTGAAACAGTAATCCTTGATATTGGACCCTTAAATTATAATTTGAATCGTGTGAAAGCCGCGACAAAAGACTTGCCATTGAATTTGGACGGTGAAAACCTGCTGTCTCGCATTAGAATCCTATCCTCAAACTAGAGGACTTTCCTCCACGTTCAAAAAATTTATGCAAGTGAGTAAATTGTATATTATACACCGAGGGGGAAACCGCTGATCAAAACATACACCAATGCCCAATCTAATGCCCCAAAAATGCCTAGTAATGCCGCAAATCTGTACACCACAATGCCCTCAGCGGTTTCGCCCTCGCTATACACTGTCCAATCGTAAAAACTTGTCGACAATTTTTCATATAAAATGGAATGTTTCTAGATGCAGTGAGCACGTTGTAGATTAGACTTAATTGGGCCAGTTTCATTTTTTTTAGACGAGAAAATCATGAAAAATTACACGTGCACGCCAGGAGTCCCGTAGACTCCAGGTCCGTCCAATTGAGAATCGATATGACGATTCAAGTGCCGCTCTTGTGTTTATGTCGCGAGGGTTGAGGGTCTCGTCGAGACGGGACGAACGTTCGGAGAAAGGATAACGGACGAGGTAATTGTCGGCGTGGCGATGCCCGTCCTGCAAGTCCGAGGAAAGTTTTCGTAAATCGCCAGGATCGATCTCGACTTTCTCTCGATTCCCAGAGCACGTGGCCGAGCAGATCGCTCGCAGATGTTCGCTCTCACAGATGCGCCTCCCGCGCTTTCCCTTTTTTTCTCTCTCTCTTTCTCTCTCTCTCTCTCCTCGCCTCGGAAAACGAGAGCTTTTTCTTCACAAAGGGAATGAAAGATCCGGGCCGCGGAAAGCGTTGCTTCGGGACACGGACGTGTTTACAGTTATGTCACGTGCCCGTCGCGACTCTGTTTACAGTGCGATAAAACGAATCGTTGAAATCGCACGGCATCGAGTCGCGAGAGGAGACGCGGAAGCGCGTGTTTATCCCGGCCGGCGGGATAAATTGAGGATAACAACTTAAATACGACCCAATCGCGTGTCGGTGCCTCGGAGGTGAGCAACGTTAAGCCACATTTTTGTGCAGAGACGAGATTTTTTATTTTTGGAATCTGCGCTCGTCAAGCCGATTCAACTTGTTAATTCTTCGTCTCTTTTTAGCAAAAAAAAAAATGCGACTTAATATTGTCTACCTCTGAGGCGCTGACATGAATCCGCAAATACGAGCAAATGTTATTATCACGACGTTCTTAGAATGAGAGAATGTGTTTCTTTCGTCGACGATTGTTTGCTTCCCTCATGTTTCTCTTCTAAACCTCTTTGACCGGCAATCGAGCTGTCGCGAACCCGTCATTTCTCGCTTCCGATTTGCGCAAAACTTTCAGGAGCGAAAGTGGACCGAGTCTATACAAATCCGATTTGCAAGTTGGAATTTGAAAACGACACCGTAGAATTGGCTTTACGAGAACAACTTTGACCGATCAACTCCAAGAGTCGCTATTTGTCTTATCACTTCTCGCTTCTGATCCGCGTAAAAATTTCAGGAGCGAAAGTGGACAAGTCCGATAGACGAGATGGAATTCGAAAACGACACCGT